TATATATATATCTTGTTCAAATTTTCATTCGTTAATAAAATACTTTCTATTTATCTATTCAAGTTAAAATACATTTTTTAAACTTGTAGTGGATGGCACTTGATGTTAACACAGTTGTGATACCCTTCCCCCCGGGGGGGTATCATCTCTTCATCCATGCGACCTAGATTTGAAGGCATAAAAGATGGACCACTCGTACCTTCCATAATAAAACTAGTTTATTATTATCTCAATATGTATTAAGCAATGCAACACAAGTCTTAGAGGAAAACGATCAGGAGTGATATGACGTAATTAAAAATTCTTAGTAAATAGCGCATTAAATCTTACTCACTATCTTTATAATATATTAACCTCCAAATCTTTTTCTATAGCAGATTGCTTAACTAACTAGAGTCTGCTATATAATTAAAGTTTAATAATCTAACTCTTACCGATATCACATGGCAAACAGCTACCAATCTTTATTTCTTCTATATATTTTCTTCTCCGACTTTATCTGGTTACTATGTAACTTTCTGGCTTCTAACCGATTTCTTTATGGCTCATATAATACTCTCTGGCCTCCAGCCGACTTCTCTAAGACTTCCTAAGACTTCATCGCGAATGCTAAAGCTCCAATATATATAATCATTCCTAATATGCATATCACATTTTCTTCTTGAGTTGGTTAGAATGAAATGCCATTCTGGCCGCAAAGATTCCCTAAGAGGATTTAGTGAAAGGCGCGATAAAGCCCCGTCACACAGTTTTTTCAAATATTAATTCATTAATTAAATTAAAAAATGAATAAATAGTAACAGTACAATGGACAGTACGCTGGACTTCTAATCCAAAGATCGTGGATTCAAATTCTACCTGGGATGGCCTAATTTCTGAAAATGTGATTTATGAATGTATAAATAGTAACAAACAAAAATAATAATCCAGCACCATATATAAAAACTGAAATTGCTTTCTATTTTGCACCTTAATATTGTGACTCTGTCATATATAAATACATATTTATATTGATTACATTTGATTAATAAAAAGTAATTAAAATAACATTTTTCTTTGTTGACCTAAGTAGGGTTTGATTTAATTTTTTTATGTTACTTGATATTTTTAAGTAAATTAAATAGCTTACAAAGGTCTCATTCATAAAAAAAATTGCAATTCTTTATACTGCATAGATTACTCATTCGCTCATTCATTATTATATGAAATCATGTAGATAAGAAAAATTTCTCCAATATATTTACAAAAAATAAAATTCCTAAAATTTCAATAAAATTCATTGAACTGATTTTGTTTTCCTTCTTTTTATATACTTAAGATAAATATATGTGCAAAAATCAAATCAAGTCTGATAGGAAAAGTTTCACTCTGGCCATTGAATCTCTTTGCGTTTTGTTTTCCACAAATAGTTGCAAATGTATTTGAATATAAATTGAATGCATTCTTTGTTTCCTTCAAAGTTAATTACATTTGCGTTTGAAAAATGAGGAAATGTAGTGAATACACTTTATACGAAAAGGTGTAAGGACACAAAATGAATGTAATTTTTTTCTTTTAATATATCAAAAATCCTGAATATGATGCATATTTTTTAAGTAGCGTTTCAGGATATTTTTTTTGCACACTATTCAAAAATTTTTTAAAAAAAGACGAATTTTTCAAAATTTTAAACGGGAAAAAATTTGTTAATTAACTCTTTGGGTTTCATTTATGGTGTAAATTTAAAAACCTGATATGTAAAATATAGGAATATTTCCCAATTTTACCCAAATAATCTCAAACACATATAAATAAATAACTATATTTTTCAGACTACTAAAATGAAAGCCCCCAATTTAACCACTTTTAAAACCTTTTTTTAAATAAATAAAGTTTGAAAAAAACCTGCTCTTGGTAGTGTTTTAAAAATTTCAAAATTTGCGATCCGTATTCAATTTTATTTTGGGTCCCCTTCATCAATACTAATGAATTGTGAATTAGTTTATTCCTTTGATACTAAAACTACAATACGACTTAAAATCTTAAGTCACCGGCGTATATAAACCCCGACTAGTCAAAGGTTATTTTCCTGGACGTATATACTTTCTTTGAATTAGACCCTTTTTACGTATCCGAAAAAATTTCCGGAATTTTTGTAATAATAAAGGCCCTTTTTCAGTTTAGGAAAAAAATTTGTTATTTCAAAAATTTTTTTTTTTTATTCCCTTTTTTCCCCCCCCCCCTAAAAAAACATCAAAACCATGCCTACGGAAAAATTGGGGGATTGAGGGGGGGAATCCGGGAACTTTCCCGACAGTTAAGGGGTTTTTTTTAAAAACTTAAAATTATCAAAATAAGGAAGGGGATGGTGGACCATTCAAAATTTTTTTTAAAATTTTACAATTAGCTGAAAATAAAAAAAAATAAAAATGATTTTATATTTAAATTTAAATGATTTTTTTAAAAAAACATTATCAACTGTTTTCTTTAAAAAAATTTAAATTTTTAAAGTATTTTTTTAAAAAAGCTCCTTCCGCATTGTTTTTAAGATATGTATGTTTTTTTTTTATATATTTATGTCCAATAAAAACATATCTGTACGGATTTAAATTTGAAAAAAAAGGGGGGAAAAAAAAATCTCTATACTATATGAAATATTTCGCCAATTATCACACATTCAAAGTATTCAAAAAGGCACAAAATGTGATCCAATGAATTTTTTAGAAAACAAATTTGTGAATTGTATCCCTTTTATTATAAGTTGTTAAAATTTCAAGCATATATGACGTAATTTAAAACGCAAGAAGCATTTTACGTAACAATGAAAAGGGAAAATTTGAGAGCTAAGAAAAGTGCATTTTAAACATTTATTTGATTAAAATTTAAAAATAATTCAGTAATTATTAATCAAAATGACAAAAGTTTTTGACATAATTATTCCATGAAATATAAGGAATAGTATTAGTATAAAAAATTAAAATCACAATTTTGACCGAAATCTGACATTTTGAAGGTCCACCATCCTCTTAGTATTCGTATATAATCTGTATATATAAAGGAGAAAAGCGACTCACTCACTAATCACGATATCTCCAGAACTATTAAACATACAGACTTGAAATTTAGTAGGCAGCTTCCTTTCATGGAGTAGACATCAGGTAAGAACGGATTTGGCAAGGATCAAACCCCAAGGGGCGTTACGGGGGTTTAAGCGGCGTTATAGCTAATTAGTTCCATTATTAAGCTTTTCGATGTACAGTCTCGAAACTTGGTATACAGATTCCTTTCATCGAGTAGAAATCCCCTACAAAACGATTTTATGAAAATCGACCTTCAAAGGGGCGTTGAGGGCACTTAAGGGGCGTTATACATAATTATTTCCATTTTTAAACTATTAGATTTACAGTCTTTAAATGTGATATGCATATACCTTTCATAGCGTAGAGTTACATTACAAAATGGGTTTTTGAGAAAATTGACTTCCAAGTGGCGTTAAGGGGCCAAAGGGGCATTCTACATAATTATTTCAATTTTTAAACTATTAGACGTACAGTATTGAAATCTGGTACGCGGAATCCCTTTTTATAGAGCAGAGATCCGCTAAAAAATGAATTTTTAGAAAATAGAATCCCAAGTGGAGTCTCGGGGACTTAAGGGGCATTATAGGTAATAATTTCCGTTTTTAAATTAGTTGACTTCAAGTCTTGAAATTGAGTAAGCAGATTCCATTTATTGAGTAGAGATCCGCTATAAAATGGGTTTTGTGAAAATCGCTTCCTTAGTGGCTTTGCGGGGGCTTAAGGGGCGTTACAGATAATTATTTCCATTTTTAAACTATTAGACGTACAGTATTGAAATTTGATAATCAGATTCCTTTCACAGAGTAGAGATCCGCTACAAAATAGGTTTGAAGAAAATTGACCCCCAAGGGACACTGAGGGGGATTAAGGGGCGTAATAGATAAATATTTCCGTTTTTCAGCTATTAGACCTACTTGCTTGAAAATTAGAAGGTATGTTCCTTTCTTGGAATAGAGTTCCTCTAACAGAGAGTTTTGCGAAAACTGACTTCAGAATTAAGGGTTGCGAGGGGTTAAGAGGAGAGTTATGAAAAATTTCCTGTTTTTTGAATTTAACCCATTTACTTGGAATTTTTTTTTTGAGCACGTTTCTTTAGTTGAATGGGAATTCTCTAAGAATGGTTTTACGGAAATCAACTCGGGGAAGTGGGGGAGTTATTGGTGCGTATTGATGGAGCAAAAATCGTTTCGAAATACTTTAGGACATAATAATAAAACTTGGTTTACATGTTTTACTGACTGAATTGAAATGCGCATAAAATGCCCTCCAACAGGGCTACAGGGCGTGATATTAAAAAATTCCGTTTTGCTCTATTAAGATTTAGACTTCAAATTTAGCACACGCATGTTTATTTTATGCAGTAGAGATCCACGGAAGAGATTTGCTTTGGCGGAAATCACTTGATTATTGGTTTTAGTGAGCACAAAAAATCACAGCATTCTTCTACTTTAAAAAGGATAGAAGGTTTAGTGAGAAGGATGGCAATCTTAGAAAGCTTAGTGTGGAACAGTTCGGAACAAGCGTTTAGACAGCCTACTCACAAGAGGAAGAAGGAAACGCCCACCTTCGATAATAATATGCATAATAGAGTAATAGTACCTGAGTACCTATTTGAAGCAGAATAAATGGAGTCTTCAACCAAGGTACGGAGGGTTACTTTCTAAAAGATATTATAATATAGAAAGCTAGATTAGACAGATAATTAACTATACTTAGGATACGTGATCTAGTTGTGCGATCTGACTTAAATATTCAGTCTAATTTGGCTTATTCTCTCATAAAAGAAAGTTGTTCATTAGATATATAAGTAATTTAAGTTATTCTTAATAAAAAAGTTGTATTATAGGAATTATAAAAATGTCTCATCCTTTAGATAATCCACCCACCTCTAGCTTACGCGAATCAACACGTCATAGCTATCACTTGGGAATGGCTATGTCTACAAACAGACATCGTTTTCCTTGCTGAAACAGCTCTAAAGTAGACCTTTTGCTCCGACATTATCAAAAATGCATAAGTCAAAGTAAAAACAGAAATATATTTAAAAATATTTTATTATTAAAGTGTTTGATAAAGAAACATGAAAACACCGATTAAAAGGAAATTCGTTAACTGTTCTAGAAGGCAAGAAATTTGTCCGAGATTTTTGGCCGCACCCTATATATGCACGTATTTAATAAAAATCAATGAAACAAAGACATTCATAAGAACTTAATTAAACTTCATACAAAATTTAGCAATTTCAAAATCCTTCCAGATTTCAGTTTTCGTCTTCAATTTTCCATCAACAGCCTTAAGAAGCTCCATCTTCATTTTAAGTTTAATATAAGTTCTTCTTTCCCTCTGAGGTCTTTGCCATTGTACTCGTAGTAAAAAAAAAAATCTAAAATCGGAAAGGGGGGGACGTGAACCAAATTCACTGATTTTTACTTATACTGCGATGTACTTGTCACCGAATTCCAAAACCAACTGATGAGAGAAGAGATGTTTTAGTGTGGCATTTGTAAGGATAAAGGGTGAAAGTAGGGATCAGATCAGTGCTTCTCAAAATTTTCTCATTAAAACTGAATTTTCAATCAGAACTTTATCAGCGCCCCCTTTCCCATACAATAACAATGTGTTGAATGTAGTAATAATGTATAATACTTTGACGCTAAAACTACAATACGACCCTAATTTTAAACCATACAAAGTATTAAGATAAGTATTAAATTTTGTGTATGATAAGCCCATTGAAAAATCACTAGCAATTATTAAACTTGTTCTTAAATTAGTATTGATACTTAGTATCAAATATATTGTGCCGT